TTTCATGCATACCTGGAAAAACCGCCCTGGTGAGGGGCTCAACACCGGGCCATCCCCCCAGCACCGCGCCATCCCCCCCAGACCCCCCTGGCCACCCCCCAGCTCCCCAGGACCCGCGCCTGAACCCTTACAGAATATCCTAGAAAAGATCTGTAAGATCATCTAGTCCAATCATTAACCTGACACTATCAAGCCCACCACTAACCCATGTCCCTGAGCGCTATATCTACACCACCTTTAAATACCTCCAGCGATGGGGACTTCACCACTGCCCCGGGTAACGCGTTCCAGTGCCTGATAATCCTTCCAGTAAAGAAACTCTCCCTAATATCCAATCTAAACTGCCCTTGGCGCAACTTGAAGCCATTTCCTCTCTCGGGTCACTGCCTTCACCCCTCCTCTCCCCCCACAGCTCAGCCCTTCTGCGCCGCCTTCCCTCCCATCCCACATCTCAGCTCTATCTTCCACCCGCTCCCCTTATTACCCATCATCTCGAGCCACAACCACATCACGCCCCGTCCCCCCGACAGACACACGGTCCCATCCCGGTGGCTCAGAGAGGGTTTTTCAGCCACCTCCGAGCACCAGTCCCTTCCCAGCCCAGGACTGGGTTTTGCAAAGGGCTCTGCACACATAATGGTCGTATACTGGTAAAAACAGCCCACGGGAAGAGGAGATGATGGGCTGCAGCACCGGCACGAGCCCTTCACCCCCAGGACAGCATCCTGGCCCTGCAAAGGGTTTTATTCCCATCCCTGCAGCACTGGCAGAGCTCCCAGGCCAGTTTTCCACGGGGCGATGGCAAAAGCAGCTAATTAAAATGAAAAGAGACAAGGGGAAGCTGGAGACTGGGAGAGTCCCCACGCAAGGCTGCTGGGCTCCCAGCCTCCAGCTCCGAAAAGCCGGAGCCCTCCTGCTCCCGCGTTTTTGCAGATGCCAATAAAAAGAGAGATGGGAGAGAAAATTAAACATTGCGGGACCTTCTGGATGTAATTGATGGTCTCAATTTGCATAGTAAATGACACGGCTGATACCTCAGCCTGCCACGAAAAGATCCCCGCTTAAGCAAAGGTCAGAGTAATTAGCACACGGTGGCAGGGAGAGATTTCCCAGCTTACGGCCCTGCAGAGGTGCAGGGGGAGGACAGGACAGGGACAGGGAGTGAGGCAGAGGCCTCCGGCACAGGAGGCTTCTCTCTCTCCCGCAGGGCTGGAGGAAAATTGGGGTGATTTGCCCCTTGCAGCCTAATGACAGAGCGGGGGGAGCTGACGGGTGCCGAGCACGCAGCCAGGGAGGCTGCAGCGATGGGGAAAGCAGCATCCCCCTGCAAACACCCGTTGGCCGGGGGAGCATCGCCCACCCTCAGCGCCCCACTGCCCAGCCACGGAGGGGGGGGGGGAATTTCGTCTGTTGGGTTTTTTTGCGGGTTTTTTTTTTTTTTTCATATGGAAAGAAATTGGGCCAATTTGCTGTTCGTTTCCCATCTGGGGAGCCAGATGGATGGAGAGGAGGGAGTTGGATAAACAGACTCCCGGACAGACAGATCAGCCAGGCGAGACGGGCAGCAGCAGGCAACGCCGGCAGGACGGGCACGTCCCTGCCAGGGGGGCACTCGTCCCGGTCACCGCCGAGCCCCCGGCCAGGCCAGGGTGGCACCGGCTGTGCCGCCAGAGACCGAGGCTCCGGTTAAGGAGCCGGTGCAGCTTAATTACAGTTTCCATGGCAATAAAAGGAGAAAATCCAACAAACGCAGCAGTTTGCAAACACGAGAGCCTTCCAAAAGCCCCGGCGTAGTCAGGCGGGTGCGTGCACACGCGAGTGACAGCTCAGGGCTGGCACAAGCACGCACCCGCGTGCCACCGGGCACCAACACCGCCAGGCTCCCGTGCTGCGTGTGCTCTGCTCGGGGCTCGTGTGAGCACGGGAAGGCACACGGCGTGACAAGTGTCCCACCACATCGCGTGCCGCTGCACACGTAGGTGCCCCTGAGCGTGTGGCAGAGGGACACGGGGGTTCTGGGCACGCACACGGCAGCTGCAGCACCAGTCCCTTCCCAGCACAGCCAGAGCAAACCCAGCTTTGAGACTTTCCTGGGACAGCAGCGAGGCTTTGCGTTGGGGTCCTCCAGGAGTGTTTTATTCCCTTTACTGAAGGAAACTTTACTGGGGGTGCTGATTGACCAGAAGCTCAGCATGAGCTGGCAATGCGCAATCACAGCCCAGAAAGCCACCCGCACCCCGGGCTGCATCAGAAGTGTGGCCAGCAGGGCGAGGGGGGGATTCTGCCCCTCTACTCTGCTCTGGGGAGACCCCCCCTGGAGTACTCCATCCAGCTCTGGAGTCCCCAACATAAGACAGACATGGACCTGGTGGAGCATGTCCAGAGGAGAGCCACGAGGATGATCCGAGGGCTGGAGCACCTCTCCGATGAGGAGAGGCTGAGAGAGTTGGGGGGGTTCAGCCTGGAGAAGAGAAGGCTCCGGGGAGACCTTAGAGACCCTTCCAGTGCCTAAAGGGGCTCCAGCAGAGCTGGGGAAGGACTTTTTACTGGGGCATGTAGTGATAAGATGAGGGGGAATGGCTATAAACTGGAAGAGGGCAGGTTTAGATTAAACATTAGGAAGAAGTTTTTCACTTTGAGGGTGGTGAGGCACTGGCACAGGTTGCCCAGAGAGGTTGTTGAGGCCCCATCCCTGGAGGTGTTCAAGGCCAGGCTGGACGGGGCTTGGGCAACCTGGGCTGGGGGGAGGTGGCCCTGCCTATGGCAGGGGGGTTGGAACTCGATGATCTTCAAGGACCTTTCCAACCTAAACCATTCTATGATTTACCCCTCGCAGCGGCTTTGAGCATCCCCAGGATCCCGTGGCACTTGCAGGGGCAGCAAGTGGCCTCAGGTGAGCTCATGGCCGGGACCACCTTCTCGTACGCATGGCAAGGAGGGGGTGGCAGAGGAGATGGACCCATAAATAAATAAGAAAAGAGACTAAATCGATGGCAATTCAGAAATGACCAAGTTACTCGGCAGCTCCGTTAAATCAAACTAACAAGGAATGTAACAAAAAAGGGATACGGGCAATTAGGCCGTAATGAGGCCCTTATTAACGCAGTGGCTGGAGAGCGCGGAGCACCTGAGCAGGACACAGCCCCACCGGCAGGAGGGGAAAGAGGGGATGGAGACCCAAAAAAGTGGCTGGATGCTGGGAGAAAACCGCTGTGAGGATGGACATGGAAGTCTTCAACCCCTGGGTGCACCGCCTGGGCCCTACAGTTCACTACAGCTCGTCGGGGCTCTCCGGGCTTAAAAACAACACCAACTAGTCCAGCTCAAAGCCTTCGGGGGGTCCAGGAGCCCCACATTCCCGCAGCACCCTCCTCCAGCCCGTGCACCGATGCTGGCAACACTGCTTAATGTTTTTATCTTCTTAATTAATGAAATTTTCTTAATATGAAAAAAAAAAAAAAAAAAAGAGGTCGGGGGGTCAGGGGGAGGTGGCTGGGGTGGGCAGAGCTGCGCGTTTCGGGGCAGCCCCGCTCACCTCCAGCGGCACAGGCTCTCAGCGCCTGCATTATTCATGGCCCCCGGGCGCCGCGGCGGGCAGGGGGATTTGCCAAGCGATGCTCCTACTGCCTTCGCACAAAAATCCATTTAGTCAAAACACTCCTTTAAAGCAAGAAATGAAAGCGAGGAGGTGGCGATGGGGAGGAGGCGGCTGCTCTCCCTCCTCCTGCGGGACACAGCGGCATCGCTCCCCAACTCAGGCCAAGGTCTGACTCTGGGAGAAGGCAGGAGGTGAGGAACAGGGACGCCTTTCTGCTTCCAGCTTTGGAAAAGGACCAAAGAGGAGCAGGAATAGCGGGGAAAGCCTTCAGGACCGGGGCAGCATCCCACAACCAGCTGCTGGAGATGGCTCGGAGACAGGCGCTGGGTTTGAGAAGGCTCAGATGACATCCCGTGCTCGCCATCACTGACGGATGGCAGCGCTTGCAGGCATGAAACAGCCTTGAAAACCCCAATCCAGCCCATTTCCAAACCTCCCACGGGCTGGGGCAGCAACCAGGCAGGCAGAGCCGCAGCCCCAGGGGCCGGGAGCACACGGAGCTGCTTTCGGCTGCTGGCCAAAGCCCCCGCAGCGGTGGTAGCCCGGTCCCACGGTGGCAGAGCCAACAGCTTCGCAGGGAGGCTGCTGCAAGAGCCACGGATGAAACACTCATCAGCCCGCAGCCGGGGAAGCGGAGACCGACAGCGAGAGTGAAATGGTGGGGACGTAATTACGGGAGGTGGCCAAGCGTGCCCAGCGCTGCCACTTGCAGCCCTTTCTCTGTTGCCTGCCAGAGCTCGCTGTAACGAGCCCACCCCGGTTAATAAGCGGCGGCCGCCCCGTCCCACCCAGGCGAGTCTTGGCACAGCTGCTCATCTTCCAGCAAACCACCCACCCTCCTGCCAGGACAGCCAGCCCAGCGGGGACACATCTGCACCCAAGTCCCACCTTGGCCCAAGGGGCAAAACCAGGATGGTCTGCCCCCAGTGCCACCCAACAGCCCCGTGTCCCCATCCCAGCCGCGCCAAGCTTGACTGCGAGCGTATCGCCCCCACCCCGGGCAGGGAAAAGCCCTCCGGGAGCAAATGGCTGCCTGCAGCGTCCTCAAGCACGTCGTCTCGTGTCCCTCCCAGCGGCATCACCCCCAGCCCGGTGGCATCTCAGCCTCCCCCAGCAGCCCCGTGGCTCTGCCGGCCGCTCAACGGGCGCCTCGGGGACTCTCCTCATTAAGGTGGGGTTAACGCGTGTTGTCAAACACAGGTCAGGGTTTAATCTCCACTATTACGGGCTCGGTGGGAGCGCAGCTGCTCCGGGAAGCGCGATGCTGAAGTGCCCTCTTGATTGCAGGTAGATAATAAGCTTTTGCTGTCGCTAACGTACACCATCAATCAGGGAGTGCTCTGCCGGGGCTCCCCGCAGAGCCGGCGGCTGTGAAGCACCGGGTGAGCACCGGCCCCTGCTCAACCGTGCTGGGAACAGCGACGTGCGTGTCCCTCCCCGCCACGACATGCTCCCCAGGCAGCCCTGGGCACCCCGAGGAGGGATGGGGACAGCCCGGACCCTGCACATCTCCCCTGCATCTGCCGGCCTTCCCTTCCTAACCCCAACCGTTTAAATGAGATTCCCAAGCCCAGAGTCTTAATTGGCGAGCGGCTGGCTGCTCCCCTGCCCCGGGATTCATTATTCATGTCACTTCAAAGCCTCCAGGAACCGACTCATTAGAGGAGAAGTCATTAGGGACACGGCTCCGTAGCCTCGTGGAGGCAAAGCTCCTGTGCCATCGCGTCGGTGTACTTTGGTCTATCTAATCATGGAGCACGGGATGTCCTGCACGGGGTGATGGTTTGCACCATCTGTCCATCCATCCGTCCACCCACCCATCTGTCCATCCATCCTCAACACAAGCGGCTTCGCAATTCCAGGAAGGCTCCCTACATCCCACGGGTACCCGCACACAAGCCGGGCTGGGGAGAGTGGTGTGATGGGGAAACGGCCCCGTGCCATGGCACGAGCCGAGGGAGAACAGCAGCACCATCGACCTGCCCCGGGTCGCATCACACATGGTTCTAATCCCTCCTTTCTTGTGGCAGAGCGCTTATGAGAGCAATACCTGGATTATCCGACGCGAAGGCTGCGATATCCCACCAGTCCCAGTCCCGCTGCTGGCAAAGCACCTCCACTACCAGCTCGGCTGTGCTTGGGGACACCAACCTGCCTTTGTCACCCAAAACCGGCCCCGACGCATCCCCTGGTGCAGCCAGATCTCAGCTCGTAGGCTCCTGCACTTCACTGCCAGGCGGGCATCTCTCCCCTTCCCTCCTGGGAATGCAAAGCCGGGAGCGATGGCAGCTCCCGGAGCCCCGTGGTTTTGCAGCTTGGTCCCACCTCGGGAACGGTGGGTCCCTCCTTGGGTGCCCTGGGCTCTGCATCACACGTCCCCATCACCGGAGGCTGCTGGCACATGCCGCCTGCCTTGTCCCTGGAACCGGCTCAAATGCTGCTCTTCAGTGTTTTGAAATCTCATCAGACGTTATGAATCGGAGCAATTTGCGCCTGCTTTTCAACCGCCTGCATTGCCGGGCTAAATCAGTAATTAATGAATTTGCAATGGGGAAAAGGAGGGGGGAAAAAAAGCAAGTCTTCAGCTCAAACCTCAGGCCTCAGGTGGGATGCCAGGGAGCAGAAAATTCAAGTTTCTCACTTAGGTAATAGCACCACAGACTCTGTCCATGGGAGGGCTCTTCTGCTAAAGACAGCATTAGGGACTTGGGCAAGTCAAGCTCCCCCAGACCTGCAGCCCCTCCGTGGGCGAGCTGCCCCTTGGGCTGCGTCTCTTTCTCCCTCACCAGCCCTGAACTGGGAAGTGCCAGGAGACTTTGGGATTTTGGGGGACGTTTATAGCAAGATTTTGCAGTCTTTGCCCCATCTACTGCTCTGCAAAGGGAACACGCTCTGCAGTCAGAAGTTGGAGTTTATTCTCTGCAGCAGACCCCCACCCATCACATGACTCCAGGAGCTGGGGCTTGAAGTGCCAGATGAGTCCTGAAAGCAAAGGCAGCTTTTCCATTCATTTATCATAATAATGGAGCTCATCCCTCCCAACCCAAGCCCACATCATGGAAAACACGCACACTCCCCGCTCCACTGATCCCCCGGGGCTGCGTCTCCCATCTCAGCCCATCTCCGACCAGACCTCGCCGGGAGCTCCACAGAGCCGCCGGCACTCACCTGGCACGACCCGAACCGGCTCGCCAGCTCACAGGCACCCCCCAAAAACACACCCCGAGAATATTAAAGAGCAAGATATGGACTCCGCCTGCCTCCAAAGCCCGGGTTCGGGCTCTGAGCCAGAGCCCGTGCGCCAGCCCCCACCACAACTCATAGCTCCTCTCTGTCCGGCGCCGCTCGCCTCCCGCCCCGCTTCCACCGCACAAAGCGAACGCTGCGAGACACGAAAACAAGGAGCAGAGTGAAGAGGCGCGGGCAGCATTATTTACAGGCAGAGTTCAGCCAGCAAACCGAGCAAGCCCTGGGGCTGGAGGGAGCTTTTTCCCAGCACAGCAGCCCCAGTCCAGCTCTGGCTCTCCCCAGTCTCATCCTGCAGGACACTTCGTGTCCCCTGGCAAGCAGCTCGAGGGCAGGGAAGGATTTTAGGTGGGAAAGCTGAGGCACATCTCCCTTGGAGTGCACAGTGTTGACAGTAGAGAGGGAAAAAAAAAAAAAAAAAAAAGAACCAGTGGGGGGAAAGAAATAGGAAAATAAGCCGGGGAATGTGGTTTCTGCCTCCAAGGAGCCTGCAGGAGTTTCAGGACCCAAAGAGGCGATGGCAGCAGAGCCCTGTCCCATCAGCACAAAGAGATGCCCCATCCAGCAAGAGCTGGCACTGATTTTTGGGCAGGGGGGTGGGATGACAGAGACCAGCACAGAAACAGGTGACCGTGCTCTGGTGGGGGGGTTGGACTAGATGATCTCCAGAGGTCCCTTCCAACCCTGACCATTCTGTGATTCTGTGATTCTGTGGGATGGCTGTCACCATGATTTTGGCCCCTGGGTGCCAGGGACCCTTCCTGAGCCACGTTGTGAAAGGACCTGCTCAGAGATGCTCCGTTTGAGCCCCACGGGGAAAAGATATACCAACACCCTCAGTGTTATCGGCCAGAAAGCACCTGCAGGAAAAGATTCACCCAAAAAACAGCCTTCCCGCAGAGCAGGGACTCTTCAGGCTCTCGGCATCGTGCCACAAAAAAACATCCAGCTCTGTGCCGACTGCTGAATGGGAGGATTTGGCTGGGGAGCTGAGCCGCTGGCAGCAAATCACAGCCCTCCGGTGAGCCGCGGTAATTGAGTGCTGACTGCACAAGAACGGCTGTCCTCGGGGATGAAAGGGAGCTGGATCGCCAGCCCCGCTCTGCCCTACCGCTCATCACACCTCGCTGTCACGGGGCTGAAGGTCACTCGCTTTAACTCCTGCACGCTTTGCTGGGGGGGGACAAAACTCCTTGCAAACAGCACTGAGGGGTACGAGGGGCAGATACCCACCAGCATCATCCCCCTGTCCATCCCAGTTGTCCCACGGGGATGGCATCCGCAGGGCGCAGGATGGGACGATTCCCGAGGCCGGCAATTAACCAGGATTAGCAAGCTCCAGGTTTGCATAAACAAACGTGCTGTAAAGTCATATTCAATTCTCGCTTCTGCCTTAAGACTTGGGAGCGGCTTTTTGGGGGTGACATCCCGATGCATCAACCAAAAGTAATGAACCCGGCTAAAACCAGAAAGAGACAGCCATGAATGTCACATGGGGATGAACAAATGCATCACAAATATATATCAGCCTCTTAACTAAAAATATAGAAAACTCAGCGAAGGATAAAACAATAGAGGGGGGGAAATGACAGTGTAAAATTGATCCAGACACATGACTAAGGAGTCTTGCGTTTGGCTGGAAATATTACCCTCTTCACAAAAGCGAGCGCTGCACATTACGACGCATGGCATAACATGCCGCGCTCACCAGCTAAATTACATAAACATAAATCTAATACTTCATCTCGGAGAGCTCGGCGACAGCAGAGATGTCAATGCACGCAGAGCCAAAGGACTGCGGATGGCTCTGTCCACTGAAAGAACGCCACGGGTCAGCGTCCCCGGGGGATGCTGTACTAGAGGAGATGGAGATGGGGACGCTGGGGACACCCCGCTGCTGGCCCTGCCTTGCACCTTGGTGCCGTGGTGTAAATACGGCTGACACCCACTGCCTTTGCAGGATGCTTTGGGAGAAGCACTTAAAACACTTAAATCACAGAACCACAGCATCCCAGACTGGTGGGGGCTGGAAGGGCCCTCTGGAGCTCCCCCATCCCACCCCCCGCCAGAGCAGGGGCACCTCCAGCAGTGGCACAGGACGGCGTCCAGGCGGGTTTGGGATGGCTCCAGAGGGGGAGACTCCCCCACCTCTCTGGGCAGCCTGTGCCACTGCTCTGCCGCCCTCACAGCAGAGAAGGCCCTCCTCAGGTGGAGATGGAACTGCCTCTGCTCAAGTTTACAAATACAACCAAAGAAAACTCATCCTTTGCAGACACAACATCTTCGCAATGCCAGCACCCAAAAACCCCCCATTCTCAATAATAAGGACTGTCCGGCCATTGGTGCCACCACCAGCAATCACCAGGGGCCAACAGCATAACTACCTAACACGTAACGGCCCACCCAGGGCAGTCTGTCTCGGTAGCGCAGGGTCAGCCCCGGCCGCAAGAGCATCCTGTCCCCGGGGCCAGTGTCTTCTCCCCCCGCCGGCGGAGGGGGTCGGTTTGTGCCTTGAGCGGAAACGCTTTCCACTGCGCCGGCGAAGGCTTTAACATGTGGCTTTGCTAAAAATTGAAGCTGAAGGTCAAGTTGATAATGCATCAGAAAGCAAACAGCTTGAATGCTAACTGCTAACTACAGCAATGAGCATTATTGCCTGATGGAAATAAAACCCGACTCTGAAGACTCAGGCTCGGCATGAAAAATGAAGCGGAGCGCTGCTCAGGAGGAGAGCGGAGAGATGCTCGTCCTGATCCCGGGTTCGGCTGGCTCTTTCCCCCGGCATAAATACCCCGGCATGGGTAAACTACGCCACTTGACAAACTGCTGGCAAGCCCAAAGCAGAAGCCAGATCCCGAGTCAACCGACAGCCCTTTTACATCACTCGGACAGGCTGGAGGCACCTTGAAGCAGCAATAAATCACAGGAGCCTTTACGCCGCCGTCAGAGTGCCAAACGAGACCCAGATGTATACAAACAGGTTGGAAAAGAAGGGGACGGATCCTTCCCCCATTCTCTCAGTGGCTCTGCACTGGTCTAAAGGCATTCGGCGTCAGCAGAGCTGTTTTTATGGGGGAAGACTTGAAAGGCGAAGCAGGCACAGCCCTGCTCTTCCTCCAGCCTTGCAATTGCCACCACAGGGGGCAAGGCTGGAGGATTTTCAAATAAATTAAATTAAAAAAAAAAAAAGAAAAGGGAAAAAAATAAAAAGAAAAAGCACATTCTTGGTCCAATTCACGGCTGCGGAGCTTCCCTCCACAGGCAAAGGAGCGAGGCTGACCCCCAGCACTTTCCCCCCAGGGGAGATGCTCCAGGGAGCACCTCGGAGCCCCCCCAGGCGCCCCAGGGAGAGCGGCTGCCCCGGGGCCTCACGCTCGGGCTGATAGACGACGGCTCTTACAAATAAACGTATTCCTGCAGCGCGAGCAGAGAAGCAGCGTTACTGCTGATAACGCACGGGCTGCACTTACACCACCGTTATACCGCAATTACAGTGGAATTATGCTTTTTGATAACTAAATTATCACTAATGCACATAATCGTTGGGTTATGTGGATACACAAATTACAGGACTGCCTCAGCCCCAGATTAATACACGTGCATTTCGACTCCATGTACACTCGTTTACTCTGCAATTACGCCGTCATATCATTAACCATCTGGTTAGAGGAATTTGCGGTAACCACAGGTATCTCGAAGAAGAAGTGCTCATGCTGCAGTGGGACCACCAGTCACGACAACCGCTCCTTACTGGTGCTTAGTGGAGGAGGAGCGTGGGTTCGAATCGTGCCTGCGCATCAACCCGCTCCTCCCGGCCACGCGCAGCCCGGCACCGGGACCCCCGGGGGAGCAGCAGCCGTGGATGGGGTGGCAGAGCATCCTCCGGCCGTGCTTGCTGCAGGGTAAGGGCACACCAGGGCCCGGCACGGGCTAACAAAGCTGCTTAACCCAGAATTACTGTCACCTCCCCGTGTCACCCAGCTGTCCCATCAGCCCTGCCCCGGGCACCCCACGGGGCAGGACCTGCCGGCCCAAGGCGGGCAAGGAAACTCCCTTTTTGGGGTGGAAAAACACTTGAGAGAATGCAAAAATGCCCCTCCACCCCCACAAAAGGCTGCTTCCCCTTATTCCTCCTGTATTCAGATGAGAATCTCGTTATCTCCGCTAGCCAGCTGGGGCTGCTGTTAGCATTTACAAACCCCGCTAGGGTTAGCGGCGAAGCCGTTCGCAGAGCCATAAACCCAGCCCTTTGCTCGTAGACCTTTCCACCCGCAGCCCCCCCCGTGTCTGCGATCCCCCCGCAGCCCCTCGCCGTCCCTCCCGCCTGCGTGCAGACACCCCCCCGGCTCGGCGCAGACACCCCAGCGCCGCTCGCACCCACGTCCCCATCACAGGGCACACGCGCAGCACGTCCCGCGCCCCGCCGTACGACAAAGCATCGCACCCGCCTACTCCGAAGCATCCCCGCGCGCTCCTCCTTGCAAAACCACAGCCCCGTGAAAATATTCTGCTTTTCAAGTTAAAATCCTGAAGAGCGGATTCCAGGTTGAATCCCCAGATGGGTTTCTCTGCATATTAAAAGCACAGCCGGTTCCCAGTGCCAGGGCGCGCGCGCGAGACAGAATTAACGCTGTTCCTATTTATAGGGCTTTGATTAGGAGCTCGTCACCTAGAAGTTTTTATTCCCTTTATCCATTTATAAGGCCATAACACAGTTTGACTAGCTCCAGATCGGCTGGTGTCCCACCGATTTTGCCAGAACTTAATGTGCCATTCAGATACAGTTAAGCCAGTAATAGGCAGCAGCCTGTGCACTGCAGGGTTTTAACTGCCTCGGAAAACACTCTTTAGCTCCCGTCTCGCCCCGTGCGCACGATGCCACGGAGGCGAAGCGATGCCGGAGCGAGGAGGGACCCCAGTGCTGTGCCAGTCCCTCTGTGGGATGTCGGGGCGGCTCTGGGCTCAGAGTGATAGCACCCACGACAGCACCACCTGGGGGTTCTCACCGTCCCAGCCGCTCCTGGGATTGATGCTCGGCCACCAGCGGGTACCCACGAGCTCCTCCGCCCACTCCCGTGGCTGCTAATCCCCCTAAGCATCCCCGCGCTCCCGTCAGCAAAACGTTTTCTGGCTCCAGACAAATCCTCCCAAAGAGTTTTGCTGAGCACGGACTTTCCGCCTGTCCAAAGCCTATAGACAAGTTAAAGCACCTGCCCTCAGGGATAATTCCACTAAAATTGGGTGAAGCGCGCGTTGGTGCCAACTTTATTTTCTGTTAAAACCTGGGAGTATTTGTAAAAGTCTTTTCTTCTGGAACTCGCCCAGCGCCGTGGCTCAGCCACAGAGGGAGGGGGTTAGATGGCTCGGCAGCCACCGGCTCGGCGGATCTGAGGTCTCCTGGTGAGCAGGGAACGGGATCTGGAGATGCTTTCTGAAAGGAGCTGGCAGCAATAAAGCAGCCTGCCCTGCAAAGCGGAGGCAGCTTGGGATTGTTGGTCCCAATCCTTGCTGGAGAGCTGGGATCCTTGTCAGACACCACGTTGTCCTTGCAATCAGCAGGACAGCCCCAAAACCCGCACCGCCCCAGCATCATCCCCCAAACCGTGCCATCCACCCCTGCTCATGCACCGCAACCACATCCCAGCTCAGACCAAGAAGTCCAACCAGGCGCATCCCTCCATCCCCATCCATTGCCTTTCCTCCTCCAGCCCCAGCTGCTCCAAAGCCCACGCCGAGCTCCCACTCTGGGAGAAACCCACTCACCATCCTCCCTGGACTTCTGGATGAAGGCTTCCACGCCACTTTCACCATAGCTGCCCTCAGAGGCCAAGGTGGAGACGTAGTTCCACTTGAGGGCTTTGACGATGTCCACCATGGCTTGGGCCTGGTAGGTGTCAGACGGGACAACGCGGGAGAAGAAGTCATAGCGGCTGTTGTCGCTCAGGTCCGGCGCAGTGGAGGCATAGCTGATCTGGGGGATCTGGGATGGAGGGGGGAAAGACAAAGCGTCAGGAAAAAGAGGTGATCTCCACCCCACAGCGATGCCCTCGCCTTGCCCATGCCCTCAAAGCCCTGCTCTGGAGGAGAGGGAGGTGGAAATCAAGGAAGACCATGGGTCAGGTGGGAGCATGTGCCACCAGAAAGACATGGGATGCTGCACAGCACCCGGGACCAGCAACTCATGGAGGGGAGACCACAGAGTGGAGGGTGATCAGCTCTACTGGGTCTTGGCAGACCCAAAGTCTGGTGACTTCCATCCATAAATGCGCAGAGGAGACACAAAACCACCCCAACCCATGCCAGGACACACATCTCTGCGCCCTCCAGTCCAGTCTGAACCCCCCCACACCAGTGTCTGGGAAGGGGGAAATCAAAGCAAGCAGAAAGCGTAGAAGTGCTGCTTTACACTTCTGCCCACAGAAGCGCCTGGCAGGACAGAGCCCAACAGCTCAGAAGGACTCCAGGATCCCCCAGGGAAGAACAGAAACCAGTCCCAGGGCAGAGCAGCCACCGGTAACTCCCTTCAAGGCCCACCAAGGAGCCGGGCAGCCCTGGGCTTTGCAGGGAGAGGTTCAGAGCATCCCCAAACTTTCATTTCTGCATGTAACGTGCCTCCATACCTGCCTGCTTTGATCTCCCCTCCGTGCTCCCCGGGGACCAGCCCGCACGAGAGCTGTGGGTGCCTCTGGGTGCTGCCTGGCTGAAGGGGACCAGCACCACCCAGGGAAAGCAGGTACCAGCCCTTGGCCACGCAGTCTGGCTCAGCCCCTGTGAACATCGGGGTTTGGGGACCACCTGAAGCTCAGGGACACCCAGCAGGACTCCAGAGGGGTTTCCCGAGCATCGGATGTGCCCGGCATGGGGGAGGCCAAAGAGAAAACCTTACTTCTGCCTTGGACAGCACTGCTAAGGTCTCCTTTTGGCTTCCTGCCCCTGGAAGGAGAAAGCCGACCTCACCCTGCCAGGTCCTGTCCACCCAAGCCATAAAAAAGCCCTTTAAATTAACCAGAGCTGCCGCAACCCGTACAGTACATTAGAATGATTTAGCACCGCAGGATCCCGCGATGCTTAACACTTACACTGCACTTTACATCTCCAAAACACACCACAGATGTTAATTTATCTTAAAGATGGAAAAGGCTTATTAAATCATCAAGCCCAGGCTCTCCCCACCAGCCTGAAGCTCCCTGCCAAACACATACCCAATACCCAGACAGCCCCATCCGTTCTCCCCTCGTCCCACACCCGAGCAGGTACCTGTCCCAGCTGCAGCCCAGCACACCGCAAGGGCTGGCAGAGCCCTCCCCAAAACCTGGGCAAGGCTTGAAATTCAGCAGCGATATAATCACAGGGACTGGAGCCACCGGGCAGCAGCGCTACAGAGACAGCAACACCCTACACGGAGCCGGGACAGCCCGGGGAAGGGTCCGGCCACCGCTGCCCTCTCGCCTTCCCGCGGATGCTGCTTTACTGCCAGGACAGAGCAAACGGAGGGGGAACAGCTCAGGGCATCGCCGATCCCAAACTACCCCGTGCCTTGGGGGCAAGCGGGCACAGAGCAGCAATCCCCAGCTCTTGGAGGACTTTCCCCCTCTCCTGCTCCCTCTAATCCAGTTTAGGATCAATTCAGTAATCGCAGCTTGCAGGAGCACAAACACCACAGGGGACTGCAATGGATCCCACAAATGACCTGGGCTCAGCGGTCACCTGGGTCACGCTGGGTGCCCAAATCAGCTCAGGCTCACCCATCACCACACCCCATTAAGCAATTAGCCAATTCCCAGCAGCAGAGACACGTGGGTGGGCTTAGAGAGCGCGGGGAGAGGTTTGGGGTCTGTGGGAAGCCTAGTTCGTGTTATAAGATCAAGCCACCTTGCTGGGAGCCCAGCTGGGTAGCGGCATCCCAAGGATGGGGACACCTGTACTGCAGCCACCCCCGGACCCTCCTGGGTCTCCCAACCCTCTCCATCCTCCTCCGCTCCTGCTCCCGGGCTGCATCTCACAATTTCTTTGTTTCTCCATTATTTTCCCCCTCTTCCACTCCCCGCTCGCTCTCTATTAAATGCAATACCGGTGTTATAAACCCACAACTCCACCTGAATGCTAAAAGGCCCCTGGAAAGGAGCAGCCACCCTTCTACCTACCCGCAAAATGTAAGATGGAAAAAAAAAGGGAGAGATGGAGAAGGAGTGGGAAAGGAAGGAATCTTTCTCAAGGCACAAATAGGATTACTCTCTGTGACAATCTGCTTTGTGCTCCTTTCTGAGGGGCTGTGATCTGCTCGTTGGGTATCTGTGACCGGGAGCCGGTGCGTGAGACTCAATTAAAATTCTGCTCAGCAGGCAAAGCGCTCGTCTGGCAATCATTCATCCTGGGGAGGGAATGGCGGGGGGGGGGCTGCTCCCTGCCTGCTCTCCTCGCCTCCTCCTCACCTCCTCCTCGCCTGCAGCAGCGCTGCCCAAAGGATGGACACGGGGGGGTTGGGATGGAGGCGATGCGCGCAGCGTGCCCGTGCGACGAGGGCATGGAAAGCAGCGGTGCCCACGTCACAGGAGATTTTGCAACCCTGCCTTTCCAGGGGATCCTTTCCCAACCATTTTTTTTTTATTCTGCAAAGAGGTTTAGTTTAAAACAGATCCCTGCCTCCTCAGCAGGGCACTGGTGATGGAGACTTCCCAGCTATTCCCCTGTGATGGAGACTTCCCGCCTATTCCCCCCCATGCCACCCGCATCCCATCCAAGCCCCCGTGGCCGGGGCACGTCTGGGTTTAAACCCCGGGCTGCCCGTCCTGCTCGAACCCCTGCTGGAAAACGCAGCCTAGAAAATACCTGTTGATCTACAGGCTACGAACTGGAAGCTGTATTTTAATAAACAAACGGAAAGAGCTTTTCTCTTTCGCTCCTCTGCCTTGGATGGAAGTGAAAATAAAATACCAGTTCCCAAATGACCGTTTCATAGAGTTCTTCTGCCTTTTTCCCCCCTCTGCCTTTTTGATCTCCTGGTCTACAATAGCCCAACTCCCGGCACCAGTTATTTTCTCAGATAAAAGACAAAAGTCCTTTTAGGTCCATAAAAGCAAAATGCAGGCAGGGAATTCAAAGTTCTTAGAAAGAAGAAGGACGCGGTGAGGGAGGGGAAGCTGGAAACTTAACTCAGCTGCGTATTTGGGCACTGGTGGTACCTCACCTGCCTCATCTCCAGCCTGGGATAAATACCGTGGTGGTGGGGGGGAAATCAGTGGGACCGGCTCTCCTGCACCCCAAAGCTCCCTTGTCCTATCGAGAGTGGGGAACAACCCCAGGGCAGGGAGTAAAACCTCCTTCCTCCCTTTTTTTGAACCAAAAACCAGAGTCAGCGTCATCCAGAAGCACCCCCAACCTGGAGCAACATCCCTCGGGGTGAGAAAGCGGCAGGAGCCGGGACTGGGGCTGCCGTCCTGCTCCCCCCCAGCCCCTGGGTCAACGGACTGGTGTGACCAACCTCAAACGCACCGCAAACACACCTTGATTTCATACCCATTTCATTCATGCCAGCTTACGAGCTGGGGATGGCGCTTTCTCTACCGCCAGCAGACAGAACCCCCTTCAGATTGAGGAGAATTAGGCAAAAGCGGTGATTTCAGCCTGGCCCCAGCCGAGGTTTGCGGGGCCGCAACGCTCCAACTTGAACCATCAATCCGAACATCAGCCTGAGCAGCCAGGAGGGAAGGAGCTGAAAAACACAGGGGCCATTGCACAGCCAGAGCCGCACACACCAGTCGGGAGCATCCTTACGAGAAGGGGCTCCTGCACCACCCCCCCCTCTGCTGCCAGAAACAGGGTCGGGAGCAGCTAATTCCCTAACCATAATTATTAATTTCATGCATATCTTATGCAAACCTCTGGTTCACCGACAAGATGGAATTGATTTAATTAGAATTTCCATCATCGAGCCATTTGGATGGCAGCTTTTAATTAGGGAGAGTGTAAAGCACCGCAGGGGCTGGAGGAGCGAGGGGGCTGAGCGGGGACGGTCAGACCTCGTCATCGGAGCCGCAGCCCCCATCCCGCTGCCCCTTCCCCGGGGCCGCAGGATCAGGCCCAGTGCCAAGACAGGATCCAGCCCTCGGCATCTCCTCGGAGAGCCATAAAGATCCCGCATCCTGCAGAGCCTGGGCTGCTCACCGGGGTCTCCGTGCCTCAGTTTCCCCAGCTGAAAATGGGAGGGGGGGAACTGCTCCTACTGCAGAGGGCAGGCAAATCGCTTGGGCATCGCGATGCACCGACACGACGCGGAGCCAGTAACAAATTCCTCCATTTCCCAGCTCCGGTGCCACCGAAAGGCAGCCGCTCTGGGGTGACACATGACAGCCATGCTCGAGGGGACACAGCCTGGGGCAGGGAGCAATGGACTGCCCGACCTGCCCGCGCCTTTGCCGTGACCTGTTAAACCGAGCGTGTAAATCAGGCAGCTCCTACGCTGGGGCTGATGCCGGCCGGGCACGGGCTGCTCGGTCCCTTCAATAAATCTGGCTCTTGTCAAAAAATCAAGTGCTGGGAAGCGCGGCAGCTGTGGGAGGATCTCCCGGCCAAGCCCTGGCACCGGCTTATGCCGAAAGGAGATGCTCATCCCGGGGTGCTGGAGGCAGATGGAAAAGCAGCGATGAGAAAAGCAAACTCTTTCTTTATGGCTCATGGAACCAGCTTCCCACGCCGGGGATAAAGCTCCAGCGGAAAACCCCGACGCTGCCAGAGGGTGGTTGCATCCCTTTATCCAAAAAAAACCAGCTCCCATCCCGGCTGAGAGCAAGGCACAGGATGCAGAGAGCCGCGGATGCCGCCCTTTGCCACTCTCCTTCCCAGACCTGCCATCTCCCTGCCCTGTGGATCTGGGGCATCCTGCATCCCCCCGTGGATGCCACCCATTGCCACGCTCCTCACCAGACCTGCCATCTCCCTGCCTCCTG